ATTTGGGTTGGTGCCTCTGCTAAGTATTTAGAGATTCTTAGTAAAACAAAAAGAACATGCAGCTTTGTTTGTCCTGAATTTGCATTCCGTTTTAGTTAGTTTCCCTTTGCCATAAAGTTGCTTCCAGGTGCATTTTCATGTTATTTGTACTGATGAAGTACCATTTTCTGTGCCTCGACTTCATGAATTCAACCGCAGTACTCCGTCCTGGGTATGACGATAAAAACATCCGCGTCCTGGGTAAGACGATAAACTACGTCCAGCAGCAAGGCCTATGATCATGAGATTTTGAGGAGCGTAGAACCACCTCTTAATTGCTGGTGTCCCCAAGTTCACTCCGACCCGGGGTGATAGCACCTGTAAGGGTCCCACCTATGGGCAAATAGTTAACCCCGAAACTGAGGTCAAAACACCATGAAAGTGTAAAAATAGGTCTTAATACCAGAAATACTTTAAAAATTTTCCAGCAATACTGTTTTGAAAAAAAATATTACCAACAATGTTTTGAAAAAATAAATATTACTAGCAATATATTTTTTTTTAAATATTACCAGCAATATCTTTTTGAAAGAATAATATAATAATATTATCAGAAATAGATTTTTGACAACACAAAATATTACCAGCAATAAAAATTTTGTTGGCATTAAATAACCATTGAGGTTGATATGCTGTAAAACAAAACAAGCCAAACCAAACCAAACCAAAATCAACCGCAGTACTGTATTGGCTTTTATGTCTCATTATTTTATTGTTGAAATTGCAATCTCCAGCTGTGGCCAATTATGAATGTTCCAGCAGGAAAAAGAGATGGCCCTGAGTACTACCAGAAGGTCTCTGTGAATGACCAGGACAGCTGAAGTCAGACAGCTCACCGGCTGGCATGCGAGGCGCTGCTGCAGAAGACGCCGCTGCAGCTACCGTCACCATCACCACCACCTTTCAATGTGATCTCCCCTCTCACCGAACATTATCGCTCCCAGGCTTGACTGGCCACTTCGGCTGTACAGCATGGCAACACCTCGTCTCACAATTCTTAACACTAGCATTCTACGCATCGTCTATGTAAGATTCGTGACTTCATCCGACTCATAACATAAGTGTAAGCATAATTTCATTTTTATTGCTTTCTTCTCTTGCATTTCTAGCTTGAGGGACTCTTTCCCGACTTCTTTCTTTCCTGTCAACGACATACAATGTCAATCGCCATTATTTGTTTCCTTCAATCCAGGTCTTTTAAAAATGACTTCTCACTACCCATTATTTACATTTACTATTGTCCTCATCTTTGTCGCTATATTTATCACAACGTTTCGGCCGTTGTACGCTCCGGCCTTCGTCTTTACTTCGCTCATTGAGTTAGACTGTTCTAGTTCGACGTGCCATATTGTAATGGATGTCAGTTATCAGTTATCTCCTGTTAATTTTTCCTCTGAAAAAACTCCACTGCCTTAGCCGGGAATTGAACTCACACTCTTTGTGTCCTGTCACTGGATCTAACTAACGCCTTTATCCCCTCTTCCATGTGTCCTTGAGGCATACATGGCACAGTGGATAAAGGCGTTGAAGAAGGCCGAGCGTACAACGGCCGAAACATTGTGATAAATATGGCGACAAAGATGAGGACAATGGTCCGAATAATGTAAATAAATACCTCATTTCAGCAATATAGACAGATTCTCTCTACTCAATAACGTTTTTTTCAGTTTCTTTCACCTTTTCGTGAAAAAATAATGCACCCTCGTATTTTTTTTTGTTGTTGTTGTTTAAACATATACTTGGATATTTTTATTGTTTCCCATATTATTTTGTGATTTGTATTTCACATGCAATAAACTTGAATCAGTTGACGTAAACCAACAAAAATCGGATCATAAATTAAATTATTTCAGTGTTATTGATTATTCTTTTGTCTATCGGAATAAACTACACTCTAATTGAAATTCTAACGAAAGGTCGCTAACAGTATTTGCTTTGCAGCAAACAGACAGCGTTTAATTTTTTTTTTTTTTCCAAAAATGAAGTAAAATAAAAGAAAATACGGCAGGCGTTTATCTTTCAACAGACAATAAACACATCACCAGAATATGTTTTTAACATTTGCAAATTTCTTTATTTTATGCTTATTGGCTGGCTTCGTGGAATGACTATCTTAAACTATTCAAAGAAAAATCGACGAGGAAAAATATGAAAACGGTGAGGGGCGCGCTAGAATTCCAAAATCGACGAGGAATACATAGAAATGCTGAAGTCGCGCTAGAATTCAATGAAAAGACATAGTTTTGATAAATGTAAAATTATGCGTCCCTCTTCTCAAAATGACATTAAATTTCCATTCTAAGCAGACGCAAAATGGCGGGAAAAGCATTAAGGAATTAATCATTGAGTTTTATCGGACGCGTGCCTTAAATCAACAATGACATGAATCGACGAAACAAAGACAGGATAGTCGATCATGAAATTAGTAATTAGTTCTTAGGCAAATAGTATTTTGTTCCTTTCGAACTTTTATAATGCGATTGTATTTTTTTTATTTTTATTATTTTTAACAAACTATCTATCTATCTATCTATCTATCTATCTATCTATCTAGCTATCTAGCTATCTATCTCAGTTCTTCATTATCTATTTATCTATCTATCTCAGTCTCTTCATTATCTATCTATCTATCTATCTATCTATCTATCTATCTATCTATCTGCACATATACAGTTCATCTCTCTCTCCCATTCTGTTCAGATGTTTATTCTGTTTCTATCTATCTATCTATCTATCTATCTATCTATCTATCTATCTATCTATCTATCTCAGTCTCTTCATTATCTATCTATCTATCTATCTATCTATCTATCTATCTATCTATCTATCTATCTATCTGCACATATACAGTTCATCTCTCTCTCCCATTCTGTTCATCTCTCTTTCCCATTCTGTTTCTATGTTTATTCTCTATCTATCTATCTATCTATCTATCTATCTATCTATCTATCTCATCTATCATTATCTATCTCTATCAATCTCTTCATTATCTATCTATCTATCTATCTATCTATCTATCTATCTATCTAATGTCACTTCCAGTTTCAGGCTGTTCATATAACTATTTCGTTTTTTTTTTCGTTAAATGATTGCCTCGTATTAATTTTGCCTTGTACCAAACTGATCATAGATCATGAAGCAAAATTTATGTCAGCTTGTTTCAATCAATCTATCTTTCATGGACTACTGTATATATTCATTATCTATCTATCTATCTATCTATCTATCTATGTATTTCTTTCAGGTTGTTCATAACACTATTTCGGTTTTTGAGTTAAAGGGTTACCCCGTATTAATTTGGCCTTGTGCCAAACTGATCATAGATTATGAAGCAACATCTATGTCAGCTTGTCCGTATCAACCTCTCATCTTCGGACTACTGTATATATTCATATCTATCCTTCTATCTATCTATCTATCTATCTATCTATCTATCTATCTATCTATCTATCTATCTCAGGCTTTCTATATGTAACTATGTTAAATTTTTGGTCAAAGCGTGCCGACTAGCAGTGTGGTAGTTTCGCTATCTTTCTATCTCTCTGTCAAAATCTGTTTCTCTCTCTCTCTCTCTCTCTCTTTCTCTCTCCTTATAGAAATATGTTTTCTCCCTCTCTCTCTCGTTCACTCAATCTCTCTGAATATTAACCTATCACGATAAACAGAATCTATCTATCTATCTATCTATCTATCTATCTATCTATCTATCTATCTATCTATCTATCTATCTATCTCTGTTCAAATTTATCTATATCTTTCTCACTGTGTTCATATGTATCTATCGATCTATCCGAGTCTGTTCATATCTATCTATCTATCTATCTATCTATCTGCACATATTCAGTTCATCTCTCTCTCCCATTCTGTCCATATGTTTATTCTGTTTCTATCTATCTATCTATCTATCTATCTATCTATCTATCTATCTATGTCTTTTCTTATATAATTATAAAAAAAAATACTTTTTTATATGCTCTGTCTCTTTATTACATTTGCAATCATGGTTCTCCACAACTTCCTGTACCTATTAATAATATTTTTTCGACCGACTCTTTATTTTTATTACTTCAAACCTTATTATTAGTAGATATTTGTACTTAAAGTAGACACTCCATTTAATTTTTTTAAAATTTGAAACAGTGTGAATTTCCTGAAATGGCCAACTTATTCAAAAAATCTCGTCGTTCGATCCCTACCAGAGAGCATTTTTGTATTGAGATTTCTTTGTTTGAAAATAAAAAGAAATAAAATAGGGTGTCTATTTTAAGTACGAGTATCCACTATGATAACGTTTGAATCTCGAAGAGAAAATAATGACATAATCAAGATGTTGATATTCCACACTACTTCAAACAAAAGGTTAGGAAGGAAACCAGCATCAATAATGGAAAAATTAATAACAACTTCTGGACTTGAGAAACCTATATTCCTTAAAAAAATTTGTTTTAAGGGAAATATATTTAGAAATTTCACCCGCCAGTAGAACTGACTGCTTGTTTCCTTACAATAAAACACCTACTTTTACTATGACCATTGCCACTACCCTTTCGCCATTATCCAGAACATTTGATACAAATGTTGAAAATATGTTACGATAATTCAAAATTCAGGATAATCGATAATTATTAAATACGAATGTTGATAGAAGTACTTCCAAGACGTTCCATATTATTTCAAACAAAAGTATTACACAATGTCACCCGCTTGTTAATACCATTATTTTCTGTTCTTGTTATATGTGATTATCAACGTTCGTTATTGCTATCGAAAATCTGCAAGTGATGGAGTTTCTGTTATTTGGTACGGTGCTTTGTGGGTGATTCCTAGATTACCAGACTCCATTCTCTCGAAGCCACTTTTAACCATCGATCTAAGAAAGGGTTTGTACACCGCTGACAGTTTAGATTTTCAGGAAAAAATATAAGTATTTAACGATGTGTCAATGGGTTTGCCTCTCGGACCTACCTTTTCTAATTTCTACATGACAACTGTAGAAAAAGCAGTTGTCCATAATTTCACTAAAACATCCATATATATTCGTGATGGCGATGACATTTTCCTAGGAGCGAGAAACAGACGAAATAACGAAAATGTAACAATTTCAATAATAAAAAAAGAAACGCTAAAGTGAAACAACAGGAAAGGAATAGCATTGAATATGTTATAGTTATTTTTGTTATGTAAGACGGTTTCGTATGTCAATTTTGCTATGTCAAGCGAAATTCCGTTATCACTTTCAAAAATTCTCGTTATATTCGAGACTTTGTAGACGCCGGTACAGTTAGTAACGCCTAGTAATACTTGTTCAAGTAGTAATCGTCAAATAGTATAATGATAAGAATAAAATCATAATCCATATAGTGGTAGAGTAGAGAGAGTGAACGTATAACAATAGTGGATAGACAAGACACACACGCACACACACACACACACATATATATATATATATATATATATAGTAACTAAAACCTGGAATTTATTGTTGATATGATCTGGCACACTAGTGGTTATTTTAAAGATTATCAGTTATCGACAACCCGTACCAATTTATCTACTTAAGCAAATTAATCTAATTTAATTCCCTAATAGTGTCTTTTACGAATATTAATGGATGAATGTCTTCAAGAAATGCTGAAAAAGATAAAATTATTTCGTCGGATGTTCACGATTTTATTATGACGACGTTGGTTCAGTGATCAACCTAGCTCTGTGCTTCACTGAGAATGATTTCATTAGACGATCTGGCTAAATTAATGATACTGGTTTTGATTTCTACACGTATTTTCAGGAATTTTAAAGAGAGTTTTTTTTTTTTTTGAGTGCTATTTATTTCTACTAAAGCTGAAAAGTGAACGAAATAACACCGTCGGGAAGAATATAGGTTTTCAACAACAAAGTTCGAGTTATCGACCCAATTTTTATCATGACGTCGCCGGAACATACCTTTCAGGCAAGCCTTGTTTGGTCTCTGGAAATGTTTAGCAAGTGTCAAGGAATTTCAATGGATGTATGTTTTGTTTTCGCAATGATTCACCTCTGCTTTCTACGTATTTTTCATGTCAAGGGCCACGTTAGCAGACTGCCACCCAGCTGCTGTCTGAGGGAAAATAAATATAAAATCGGGAAGATTCACCTACTAATTTTATTCGACCAAAAGCAGCCCCCGAGTCCTTTAAGCGGAATAATAAAAGTGGACATATTATCGATTGGATAGATAGATAGATAGATAGATAGATAGATAGATAGATAGATAGGGAACAGACTGAGACATATCTGGAATATACATAGATAGATAGATGATGAACAGAATTATAGGTAGATAGATAGATCGATAGATAGATAGTGAATAGACTAATATTGAACAGATGCATACTGAGATATAGATGGGAATATTGATGCAAACTGAGATAGATATTGATCGATAGATAGATGGATAGATAGATAGATAGATAGTAATGAATAGACTGAGATATAGCTAATATTGCATACCATAGATAGATAGATATATTGATGCATACCACTGAGATAGATATTGATAGATAGATAGATAGATAGATAGATAGATAGATAGATAATAGATAATGAATAAACTTAGATAGAGCTGGGAATATTGATGCATACCATAGATAGATAGATAGATAGATAGATAGATAGATAGATAGATAGATAGATAGATAGATAGATAGATAATGAATAGAATAGACTGAGATATAGCTAGCTTTGAATATTGATGCATAGATAGATAGATAGATAGATAGATAGATAGATAGATAGATAGATAGATAGATAGATAATGAATAGACTGATAGATATAATAGACTGAGAATATTGATGCATACCATAGATAGATAGATAGATAGATAGATAGATAGATAATGAATAGACTGAGATATAGCTGGGAATATTGATGCATACCATAGATAGATAGATAGATAGATAGATAGATAGATAGATAGATAATGAATAGACTGAGATATAGCTGGGAATATTGATGCATACCATAGATAGATAGATAGATAGATAGATAGATAGATAGATAGATAGATAGATAGATAATGAACAGACTGAGATATAGCTGGGAATATTGATGCATACCATAGATAGATAGATAGATAGATAGATAGATAGATAGATAGATAGATAGATAGATAGATAGATAGATAGGAATGAGTACTAACGTTTTATATTAATGGGTATGGAAGGTGAATGATAGATGGACAATCGGTGTGAGAAAGAAAGGAAAGGAGAGCAAACTTGAATTTGAATGAAATAACGAAGAAAACGATAGAGAAAGAGAGAGATAATGAGAGTAAGCAGGAACATCGAAATTAAAAAAAATAATGCGAAAGGATGATAGAGATAAAGAGAAATAGAGAGAGGGAGATGCAAAAAAGAAAATGTTAAAAAATAGGATAAAAAAAGCAAAAGAACAATAATGTATATACATATCATAAAAGACATTTTGAAGAAAAGAAATAGTTACAAACCATATATATATATATATATATATATATATATATATTATAAAAGATATTTTTTATGGGTACAAAATTTAATGATCGAAATAAAAGTATAAAACTTAATATTACGAGACATATTAAAAAATAATGGATGAACCAACCGGTTTCGCTCCCGCTCTCCAGGCTCCAACGGGAGATTTAAAATTGACACAGGAAAATGTACAATAAAAGGAATTGTAAAAAAAAAAAAATATATATATACAAAAGGAACTAGAGACAAATGACAGCGAGTCCCAACAAACACTCACGTTCTTTGCACAAAAGGTGTTATCAACGTACCGATAATACATTTGAGGACACAGTGGATTCTTTCGTATCTTTTCTTCCTGAAAGCCAAAAAGATACGAAAGAATCCACTTTGTCCTCAAATGTACTGTCGGTACGCTGGGACACCTTTTGTTTATTTAACGGTGAAGTTGAGGCCGACCAGTTTCTTTCGTTTTTAAATGATATCCATCCGGCACTGAGGTTCACTATTGAAAAAAGAGTCCAATCATCAATTGGCCTTTTTGGATGTACAGTGTAACCCGGATATAAGAGAGTTGTCGGGTCCGGAGAAGAAGTCTCCTATATCCGGGTTTCTCTTATATCCGGGTTTGGTCTTTGGTCTATTTACATTAACACAGGCACTAATTTGGGACCAGAGAAAATCTCTCTTATATCCGGGTTTCTCTTATATCCGGGTCTCTTATATCCGGGTTACACTGTATTAGTACATCGCACATTAACAGGTTTTCTCACTTCCGTTTATAGAAAACCTACTTTCGCTGGGTTGTACACGCGTTGGGACTCTTTTTGTCCCACTAAGCGCAAGATTAACATTATTAAAACCCTCCTACATAGAGCATTAAAGATCTGCTCTGAGCCCTTCTTGAACGACGAAATCGACTTTATTAAGGATACCCTATGTAATTTGGGTTATCCTCTTTATACTGTTAATTCAGTTATCCGTAGTAAAGTTGAAGAGTTCAGAAGTGCCGAGCTCTACACTGTCAAAAAAATGCCCAGTTTACCTCAGATTACCCTGGATTGGTACCAAATGTGAAAAAATAGCTAAACAAATTTCATCCAATGTTCGTTGTTGTTTTTTCTCTGCTGAAGTTCGGATTATTTTTCAAACTCGGCCTATGTTTCGATCTGCCCATGAAATTAATTCAAGTATTTACAAATACGTTTGTAGTTGCGGAGCCGACTACATAGGGAGAACAACTCAACACTTAGACATGATAATAAAACAACATGTTCCTACAAAAATTAGAAATCACACCCTGCCTTTGAATGGACTCGTCCCGAACACCTATAGTTCCGCCATATGCGAACACCTATTAAAGAACAAGGATTGTGCAGCCAAATTTAGTGTTGACTGGTTCACCGTGTTGTCCCGGTCTTACTCCTTATTTTATCAAAAGGTTCTGGAGGCGTTTTACATCGGGTCCCGTAAGCCTTCTTTGTGTAAACAACGTGAGTGTTTGTTGGGACTCGCTGTCATTTGTCTCTAGTTCCTTTTGTATATATATATATTTTTTTTTTTTTTTTTACAATTCCTTTTATTGTACATTTTCCTGTGTCAATTTTAAATCTCCCGTTGGAGCCTGGAGAGCGGGAGCGAAACCGGTTGTTTCACCCGTTTTTTTAATATGTCTCGTAATATTAAGTTTTATACTTTTATTTCGATCATATATATATATATATGGTTTGTAAGTATATATATATATAGGTAATACGTATGGGTAAACCTAAGGAGTATAAAATCCAGAGAGCTCAATGTAAATCCAGAGCAAATAATTTAAATAAAAACAGACCACTTTAAGGTTCCATGTAATAAATTATTTCACCACAGCCCTTTTAAAGGACTGTGGATCATTAGACCTTACTTCCAATGGTTGAAACAAATATATATATGGTTTGTAAGTATTTCTTTTCTTCAAAATGTCTTTTATGATATGCATATATAAGTTTCATAAGTATATACACAAGTTTCAGTAAATATGTCAGACAAGTTGCTTTGATTCATTTTTTCTACATCATTTTTCATGTGATCTTATAAAGCTTTTTTTCGTTTCACTTAATAAATCATATAAAACTTCCCAAATGTTTTTTTCCAAGCGCTTTTGGCTATACGTTTGACCATTTTCAAGGCTGAAATATATTAACTATTAACAAAATAGTTTGTTGTATGTATATTTTTATATAATGTTTCATTTTCAAAACACGGTCAAGATATTGTGTTCATGTTCATGGATGATAATATTGAGTTTTATCTTTTCTTTTTATTTATAAGGCTAATTTTATTTTTAGCCTTTTTTTTTACATGTAGACGATGCTATTATATTTGTATTCTCAAGAATTATATTTACCCCCACACATATATATATATATATATATATATATATATATATATATATATATATATATATATATATATATGTATGTATGTATGTACATGCAAATCCTACTCAAGTAAATTCTGTATTCTTCAAAAATGTAACAAATGGAATCTCCCTCGACGTTGAACGCTATTCCATACTTATCGTAAAGAAAGCCCAAAACTGAAAATGGCTGTTTACACAACAGAAGGTAAAGCCTGATATGATTTTTAAAAGGAGACTTTTATAACGACCGCCATTTGTTCAGAAACGATATGCAGTAATCGAGATCGAAGACAAAAGCAAAAGAATTAATCAGTGCAAAATTGAATTGGTATTAATGGCTGTGGACGACGGTATGAATGCTTTTAGATTAATGTTTACTAGCGAGCTGAGTTCGAATTAATGTCGAGGTCTTTACATTCACGATCAGGATCACGATCACGCGTCTAGTAACCCAATACAGTGGTAAGTACACCGTAATCTAGACGCAGAAGCAGCGATGTCTCTTGGGCACGATAGCCTGATGGATCTCAATCCTTTACAGGTATTTACTCAGCCTCTCTACCAAGGATGGATATGATACAAGGTCGTTTTAACTTGGGTGAACCATAAACATACTTATACAAATAGGCCACGGACAAGAATTGATATTTGCTCAGCCCCCACGATCCTTGGCATCAGCATTACACCGATCCAACCTCTTCAGTGCGATGAGAAAGACGTTGCCGCATGGTTGAAATCCCCGGAGCTAATCAACTTCTCCCATCTAAAATGAGAATCATAGCTCCACTTACAGCACAGGGACGTTAACCACGCCCCAGTAAACGATTATTGGCAATGATTTACCCCAGGCTTGTTTTAATTCAGAGTTTTCATCATTCTAGATTAGTCTACCAACCAAGGCGACAGGACCCAATCTCTCCTGTTATTGACACGTAGCTGGTGGGAGCAGAAATGGATTCATACCTTTCGCAAGTTCGTTAACACGGAAGTGAATGTAATAGACTCGACTTGCAATACGGCTCTCCGATACCTGTTATATTAATTTCACGCAAATGCCCGAAAGAAAGGTATGAATCCCACCCAGCTGAGGTTTAAATAGCAAGTCAATCTGTGGTCTCTGGGGCGGGGAAGAACCATAGTATGGCCCTTACAAATATACTTGCATAATAACCAATATCTGCTTCAGTATTGTAGTAGTTTAGACATCAGGTTGGCTCTGTAGGTGTTGAAGAAACGCTAATGTGCGTGAGTAGATGGATAGCATCGGAAGCGAACAGCCAGGGCGATGATGAGAGATCAGAGCGCCTTCAAGTTGAAACAGGTCTGATGATGATGACCATAGGTTTTTAATGTTCAAGGAGATGCTTGCTACATCTGTCTTGAAATTCTAAATTTGATTAAGCTCGATAAACAAATATGATTGTTATACCATGCGAAATTATATTTATAGAACTTAAAGGGAATAGTTACCTGGAGAATGAGATTTTTATTTATCAAAAACGTGTATAAATAATACATACATATATACATACATACATATATATATATATATATATATATATATATATATATATATATATATATATATATATTCCGTTATATAGATGTAGGTTTATGACCTTGGTTTCAGCTTTGCGATCATCAGACACAACCCAGGCTCACAAACCCATATTCATACAACTGAATATGTTAGCTCTATCACTAACATTAGGCAGTTCCCAATAAGCACCACGCATATTATATATATATATATATATATATATATATATATATAAAATAAATAAAAATTATATATATACATATATATATATATATATAAGTGGTCAATATATATATATATATATATGTGTGTGTGTGTGTGGATGTATGTATATTTCTGTTCCCTTTTGAATTTGTAGGTCTGATGAATTGGATCGTGAATACGATTCCAATGTAATAAATTATAACCATGGAATATTAGTGTTTGATGATATATATATATATAAAATAAATAAAAATTATATATATACATATATATAATATAAGTGGTCAGTATATATATATATATATATATATATATTTGGTTGGATAGATGCGAGTTTGTCATATATATTTATTTATATTTATATACACTTTTCACACACACACACACACACACACACACACATATATATATATATATATATATATATATATATATATATATATATATATATATACATATACATATTTCTGTTCCCCCTTTGAATTTCTTGCTCTGATGAATTGGATCGTGATTAAATTATAACCATGGAATATTAGTGTTTGAGCCTCTTTATATATATATATATATATATATATATATATATATATATATATTTCTTAATTTATGAGTAACATGAGAAGATCATCGGCATATATTAGATGGAGTGTTTTTTTTTAAATTAATTAAATATATTATTTTCTACACTTGACATATAAAAATTACAAAGTCCAGAATATGGCTAAAATACATCGACTCCAAAAACAATTCCAAAATAATTATGTCCATAAATTTATATACGACCTAATAATAGTAATAAAATTCCTTTACTAGTTATATTAATAAACA